GTGAATCTGTCCACATTAAAAACAATTACACTAATTTATAAAAGACTCCACGCTTCTCATCATTTACTATGTATAACATATATAATTCAACCCAATCAGTCTATTCAGATAAAAAATACGTTTGTAATTAGACAAAGACTACGTAAATTTTGATAGCATTATGTTATGGAAATTTGTTTGAAAAGTTAGAATAACTTCTGAAAAATGGACAGTAGCCAACTACTCTGTCAATGAAACACACGTCATAGAAAGGAAAGAAGAACGCCTATAATTATTACATATCTCTGCAGATGAATGATTGCTACCATGAAGTAGACAGTCACAACACAAGACATTCATACAGTTAAGCTGTGCAAGAATATTAGGGCTCTCTATACACTGTACGTGGAGGAAACCACTAAACTCTAAACACGAGGTAAGTGAGGTAAACTCTAAACACGAGGTAAATGAGGTCCTATTACGAGCACTTTGCACGTTCCGCAGTAAACGAGCAAAATCTTTGTCGCAGACGTTCAACACAGCCCAAAACATAAAACATGGGTATGGATGCAGGTGACACACTATAGATGGATTCAATATAGTAAAATGTCAACTATCCGCACAGAAATCTCTACTATGGCCAGTAAAATCACGTGTAAATCTTCACTGTATGACGTGCTCGTCAGAAGACGCAAAATGTCACTGCGCGAAGTACGTATAAAACAATAGCTGCTGTCCTTTCTCCTGGGCAATCTTATATTTCACAATAAAGTATTAGGCGAATTATGGGCTTAGATTTGTTACTAATCAGGACTGTTTCAGTAACATGATTCGAAATGAAAAACAAAGGTAATGCCATGAATATGCTACAACACTGTAAACATGCATTGATGAATATGTATGCTATCACGATTAATACAGACAATCTTCAACACGTCATACGTTATGACTCCAACTTTGCGGCAGTGGATTCATGCATCAGCTGCCTCTGATTTTCTTTGTTTTGGTTTTTTTACCCCAAAGGGCTAGTTACCAATAATAATAATAATAATAATAATAATAATAATAATAATAATAATAATAATAATAATAATAATGATAATGATAATGATAATAATAATAATAATAATAATAATAATAATAATAATAATAATAAAAGCATTTGACTGGGTTAAATCAATTAGTCGATCTGATTAAAATCAGATCTCCACTGTCCTATTCAAAGAACTTAATGCGATACCTTAGGGGTAACGTTCTGGTGACCTTTGAATTAGCCCTTGAAAATGCAGCTTCCAGAAATCTGAAAGTAAATCAGATCATTCTTCACACATTGATGCTCTTCAACCATACTGTTCACACAAAGATATAAAACTTTTTCTAACTGGCTGATTAAATTAGCGATTATGGTTAAAACATATGTCACCACAATATGACTCTTAAGATGTCGCTGTCAAATCTTCACATAGGAGAGTGGAGATATGATTTCAACCATATTGGTCAAATAGGTATATAATTAATCCAATCTATCTTAAGGCTCCCTAACATATATGCACACTGATACAGAGCACGATCAATCTTTACCAGTCTGGCACGCTGAGATAAGTTTTGTCACACACATTCATGAACACGCAAGTCACACTCCCGTTTATGACTAATGGTTTGCAGTTTTGAACACAGTCAAAGACTTAACTACTTTCAGTGTAAACTACTCAATGAATGATGTAGCTATGTATTAGTCATTTACACAAATTGAAATTTAAAAAACTCACTCAGGTCAAGCAGAAATAACCTGTTTTGAACAAGGTCAAGTTTAGCGTACAATGTCATAATTACATTACCATGTAATGATTTTTTCTTAAACAAACTAGCAAACAAACATTTAAATTAAATATACATAACATATTCTTTAATCTTCGAGACCACAATCACCTAGAAAATCAGAAACATTTTTTACCATATTTTCAAGGTTAACAGTTATTAACCAATAACGTTCCGTGATGGAATATCGGTCTTGTTATTGCATTTTCCATCTCCTAAATTATTGTATAGCTGTCAAAGAGTACTAGAATGGTTTTATTAACATCAAAAACCTTCGGATCCTTTGTCTATTTAGCCTTTCTAATCATTCTTTTTATTTATCTTAAACTTTCAAGTAGTTCCATTTTAAAAAACAGTCAATATTTATGGAGTAATCAAACATGGTGGATGATGATATATTATTTTGTGCATTTTAAAGAGTGCATGTTGATTGAGAATATTCATAAATAAGTTTTATATGTAAGTAAAATATTATATTTGTATTCAAATATTGCTCTATCATACCATGTAATATGTTTTAGGTCCCCAAAAGTTATCATTGCCAGTTTTCTTGTACATGTAAGAAACTCATTTGTATACATGCTTTCATGACTTAGTTGCTTGTTTGTAGTGTCCGGAGGACGGTATGACTGGGTCTTGCCTAAATGTGTAATATAGTTAATATGTGTTCAGCAAGAAAATCATTGTTAACGTTACCAAAATGAAAATTCCTATAGGAATCTTTAATTTCTAATTCGAAGTACCTACTTCCATTTACACGTGGTGAAGGTGACATGTGCCTGAAGCCATTCGATCTTGAAATTGTGTGGAAATTTCTAACTAACCTGTTCCTTTCATTCAATTCATGTTTTCATTTTACGAATGCATTTGTTCCCATAAAATAAGAACCAGTCCCCTACTAATTTTTGCGAATGGTAAATAAAAATCATTTACTAACAAAATGTTATCGTACGGATTCTCCATAACAATGTTATCGTAATGATTTTCCTTTAGCAATGTTATCGTAATGATTCTCCTTTAATTCCTTACATCTGTACATAATTTTATAAACATGTACCCATACGTCTGGCTTGATCTAATCTGCCTCTAATTCATTATATGATCATATGCTCCATATTAAACATTTGTTTCAAATCTCTATATTCAAGAATATGTCATTACTGAAAAAACATAATAAAATGTTGCATTTGTGTTGTCATGCACATGAATCTCATACGTTTGCACCTTATTGTTGTGGGTATTAATTTAATTATTCAAAAATAGATACACAGAGAGTCAAACAACATAATCATGTTCTCTCTGGTTTGCAAACATGGCCATATTAGAATGGACACCATCTACAGTCAGTGTTCGACTCTAGTCTAGGTATTGTTCCAGTCCAACAAGGTCGGAACAAAAGTAGGGCAAATGTGTAATATGAAGTTATTTCAGTTCATTTAACTGGTTCAGAAATGTTACTTCTTTGGTCATTGACAGTAACTATCTCGTATGAGCCTAGTGTGATGTTCCATCAGTATGTTACGAGTCTATGCTTGTGTAATAACTAACAGAAAAGAGTGAAGGCAACAAGCTTTGTACAATGCAACAAATAATTTATTTCCCTAGAATACAAAGTGAAATAGGGGATAAAGGTATTGCAAATTAAATCCAAATATACTCCAAGAATTAAAGTCACAAGTCCCAGTAATAAAAGTCCTGAATGAAACTCAGTTCAAAACCCGAAGAGGTCAAAATTTAAGGTGATTACGTGTCTGTTATAGCCTGCGTCGTATTGTCGTATTGATGTATCAACAGCCTCTTGTTCAATCACAAAAATATTATTCTAAATTTACATTCAATATAAAGTGAATGTCTTCATCCAAGAATTTTATCAGAGCGAGCATTATTATATTTCCAGAGAAAATATTCCCTTGAATTTAATAATTTGAAGTAAATAAAATGCAGCCCAAACTGGCCACAACATATTGCAACTTAAAGTGTTAGATGTATAAGTACAACTGGTAAAATCTTCACAGTTAGAAAAAATACAGTTCTCTGTTTGACTTAAAGTCAAAACATTAGCATGTTCTGAAAATAACCATTACCTAACGGAAAATAACTTTCTAGAATGATTTGATAAGCCTTGTTTATTTGAAACTAAATAATCTATAAATTTCACTTTGAAATCTCCAAAACCCTGATCTAAATCAACATGTTTACCTGAATAATAATTTGGTCAATGAACTTATACCCATAGCGGATAATAAAGCTATTATTAGTTGTTTACATAAATGAAATAAAAAAGAGAAAATGTTAATCAGGTCAAAAAGAACTGGACTCAATCTTGGACAAAGTCAAATCCAGTAAACAATTTTACATTACAATGACATGTAATGGGATAAAAAGATTTAAGACTATCAGACAAACAATCGAATTAAATATACAGTAACAGAGGTACTAAATTTTGCGTTTTTGGTATCATTGCCGAACCGTTATTATTGGTCAGTAATCTTAGCTTTATGACCTAAGCCATGAAGAAAAACACAGCATTTAGAAATTCATTCAAGCTCATAATGTGATCCAGAGTTGTTTCGTCACACTCTCTGTTGTACTACGTCTGTCTATTTAGACATTCTCTTGTACCATTACTTTAGCTGCGAATAATTGGACCATTACATTGAAACGTGATGTTACTGCAATGTTCATAATGTACTCAACTAAATTAATTTAACATATAATCGTTTTATAGTCTTCATGTTAAAAAAGGTTGTTAGGCCATAGGGTTTGTTAAAATAGTCATCACAGGTGATAAAGACATTGTAGTGTACACTATATTATGATCCAATGTCCAGGCCCCGGATGTCTGAGTAATCTAAGCGCTCGTCTTTACTGATCACTGCATTTTTCCTCTGTCCGAGTGTGTTCAAGTCTCCAAATCGGCAAATATGAGTATGCGAGAAAGCTTGCCAGTAGCTTCCCGTGGGTGGGTGGATTCTTGTAAGCGAACTTAATTCAAATATTTCCTCCACAAACTCAATATTATTTCCATTAGTATCACTGTTCCCACCTACAACGATCGCAAAAGTTGAGACGTCTATGAGATTGAACAAGTTGGGATCATAGTGAATTAGTCGAAAAATTGCACCCAACACTCAGTGCTCTTTTTCACGGTTATCTTCAGTACCTTCATAATTTTGTCATGTCAAACAAAGCTCCTATCGACCGCTCCGGTGGCCTAGTGATTAGAGCGTCCGCCTCGGATGTGGGAGAACGCAGGTTCGAACATCGGCCGAGTTATACCAAAGACATAAAAATGGCACTGATAGTTGCCTCTCTAGGCGCTCAGCAATAAGCGATTAGTGTTAGGACTAGTCGTCCTGGTGCTGAGATAATGTGACTGGGTGGGAGGTCATGATATTGTCTTCCACGATGGGCCAGTGCTTGACATAATTATAAATTGAAACACTTCAGACATCGTAGCGATATGGCTGAAAATTTAAAAATCCAAATATCTCTCTCTCTCTCTCTCTCACACACACACACACACACACACACACACACACACACTCACATACACACACACATGCACACACATTTACCCTCCTGTCATGTTAGGGTAGGCAGATCGGCTTATTGTTTAAACATTAGAGATATTTAATGTATATTTTTCTTTTTTTTCTTTACCACTGGAAAAAATGCTTGGGTCGTCAATGAGAAACAGAGATAGATGGCCGACTGAAGAAATATGTTTTTGTTTGGCCTGATATTTTTCTTTGAAATTAATTCTTATATCTCATAGCAAACCATTTTATTTGTAGTAGTGAATTCTCTTTTCCGTTCTCTCATATCATATTCGGGTCTGATTACTGCTGAACTGGTCTGCCCACTTACCAATTGCGCATATATATTTACATCAGGCAGAGCTGTTGTTTGAGTACGATGTGTATCTAATGGTGTATATGTATGTTTTTGCCTTCTCTATGCAGAATTTGCGTCCGCTGAGGTGATCGTTTGCTCATTTCCTCGCTGTCTTTCTATACGGCTTTGACATAAGTAAGTCCAATCAACTGCCCAGTGTCATCGACCTGCGAAACAACCTATGGGTCATGAATTTTTGATGTACAGCATGTACATGCATGAATATAGGGGACATCTGGTCCTCGTCATTATCGTTACCATGAATGAAACTTTCGATTCATAATGTGATAAAGTATCTAAATAAATATTGATGAATTTGCCAGTTTAACCCATTGCACATTTGCTGCAATTAAATAAAAAATATTGATACTATGAACTGTCAACATGAGCTTCTACAACAAAATTGTCAGGGAATTTACTGCTGCTGTCATATTTCTTCTCAGTTTAAGATTAAACTGCTTGGTAAAAAGATGCAAGGATAAGAGTGTAACACTAATGTGTGAAGAAAAAATCCGTTTCTTTTATAAACTTCCCTTTTTAAAAATAATTTGCAATTCTGTAAAACTCTGCTGGAATACCCTTCAAAGGATGCAATAATGTTTGTTGAATTCACTCATTGGTCACATGAAAGTTAATACTGATGTATCGTGACAAATAGTTTTGAAAACCTAATGCTAGAGTAATAAATGGATTTACACAGACGTTGTTGAGAGTTATCGTTTGCATTATTTATATACATTGTTAGGACTTGGCGTGATATGTGATATAATCCCCCATTTCTGTGGTGCTTTGGTTGTTGTTGTTGTCTAGGAGATGATTTGCCATGGTGTTATTGCTCGGATTAAGCAAACTATGCAATTAATACGTGGATTGAAGAGATCTGAGCAAAGATATATAAAAGAGCAACACGAGCCACTGCTTGTAAAATTTAACAATTTAATTGATTACATAAACAAAATGAAATTAAGCATGATATTTTAATAATACGCTTTCTCTTAGAAATACAATTACTACATTTATGCGAATAGCAATTAGCCGTTCTATTATACCGATAAAACGAATTTCCTGAACTCCATTTCCCTGCATGTTAGCATAACCTGATTGTTTCAGGACATTTCCGAATCACTATTAGGTGACAAGTCAGTGTTGCCGTATTCCCTACACCCTTTGCCCTAAACCGTAACTTGACTGTCTTTTCTCACTACTGAGTGCACAGGTAAAGTAGAAAGTGAAGTAGAATGATATAGTGGGAAAAAGTAAATGGATGACTGTCTAGAATATGTAAGAGGGACTCATACGACTTTGGGTTCCAAATGGCGAAAGTCCAACCCATCTCTTGTAAGGGAAGATGAGGGCGTAATTTATTCTCAAATTAGAAACTCTCTCTCTCTCTCTCTCTCTCTCTCTCTCTCTCTCTCTCTCTCTCTCTCTCTCTCTCTCTCTCTCTCTCTCTCTCTCTCTCTCTCTCTCTCTCTCTCTCTCTCTCTCTCTCTCTCTCTCTCTGGGTATATTAGATGGGTTTGCATGCCATATTCAATTACCGGGCTGACAATTACGGGCTACGCTAAATTTTTACGTATGTAATCAATATACCTCTTGGCTCACGGCTAAAACAAAAATGACATGTATCATTTTGTTTACACCTCTTTGCATTGTATCTTTCTCACTTCTGACCAAAGTGAAACGAATGGGATGGACTAAGTCACATTCTGATGTGTTAATATTAAGGCAAATAGAGTAAAAGAGTAATTTGGACACAACTCCAAAAATTCGCAGATTCATTTAAGACTTGATTTTCGAATGGTTCGTCTTAAATTGCACTGATTGAGATGAAACGTAATAAAGCATGGTTAAAATGCCTTAAGAAACATTTATCCCGTATCCTGATTGTCTGCTTATACACGGTACTAATTGTATGAAAAAATGGGAACCAGCCTATTTATCCCTTATCCTGTTTGCCTGCTTACACATGGTACTAATTGTATGGAAAAATAGGAACCAGCAAGGAAATGGATGAAATAAAGACTATATTTGGATTTTGGTGGCCAGAATTGGTTGATAATAAAAGTTATTTTGTAGGAATAAGAATCTTTTGAGGGCTTGTCCCAGTTGTAATTTGAATAGACATTGTTTTTAATTGATTTTAGTATCATTTGTAAAGGTCTTTGGTTCGAACCCGCGTCAATACTAACATTGATTTTCAGTCCTTTAACAGTTTTGATTTGGAACACTCCTTACTGAAATTAGCACCTGACGTTTTTGGTGCGGAAGTGAAAGCAGACGTTTTAAACACATGTAGGTCCAGAAAATACCGCGTTTCATATCCTTTTTCCTAATCAGAAGTTGTCATCCAGGTTTCATCTATACTGTTAAATAAAGGTTTAATCATGAGCACTCAGAAGTTTGTAATTACTGATTTTTTAATATCACTGTGAGTCCTTAATTAATCTGATTCTGCTTTCTTATGCTATAAGGAAGAGTGATTTCTTGTATGCAAGTATGAGAGAGAGAGAGAGAGAGAGAGAGAGAGAGAGAGAGAGAGAGAGAGAGAGAGAGAGAGAGAGAGATGGCTAACACCTATGTTAATCAGCAGTTTAATCCAACGTTTGATCTCAAAATCATATGCATACCGGTTAAATGTGTATATGACCAGAATGGTCCGGTGACCTAGTGGTTAGGGCGTCTGCCTCACGGGTTCGAACCAAGGACTTATACAAATGATACTAATAGCTGCCTCGCTGATCGACCTGGTGTTCGGATAATGTGACTGAGTGGGACATAATGCTACATGTCTGTGGCATGGTGCCCCAGTGCTTGATCTCACACACATACACACACAAACACACACACACATGTATGGCCCGATGTGACTGTTATTCATATGCTACATTATACGAAGTTTAAACACTGCAAACGTAGTCAGCAATGATAGCTCCGTCTATACGCTTTTGCTGCAGAAAATGTTTATTATTCATTCAACTATTTATTAAAAAGCTTTTATAAAAAATGATCAGTCAATGTATGTCGTAAAAGATATAATAGTGTATTTATGTGGCTGGTCCTTATTTGTTTTCGCTTGTTTTAGTATCGTCAAGATTAAAAGCCCTAATATTGACAATGTATTTTATGATCCGCACGATCTAGAACCACTTTCCAAGCACCTGCATATAACAAGACATGTCCCGTTAACTTTAGGTGAAAAACTAGGTTCGAGCCCTAAATAATAGTTTAATACCATCGATCATGGGATAAGAGTTGATAGCATACACTAAGAAAACTGGATATGCAAGCGTACCGTTGGTACGAACGATGTCCTATCTGCCTACCCTCATGGATTCTACTGGATCTGATTTCATGTGTCCGCTGAACCACCTGCCTCCTTGGTTACTCTACCCTGCAATTTATGACCTGTAGATAGAAAAATGCTATGATTTTGTATTTTCGTTTCAGCCCAGTCAATGTTTTTTACATTCCGATGCGTAAAACTTAAATCACCACCTCAAGGTTGTTGAGCAGTTAGCTGAAAATGGTATATGGCCATAGAACAGGAATTAATTTTAGTATATATTGTCTACATCTGTTTCTAAGTACCGAACTTTCCATTGTGTGACAATCAATACATATTATATGTTAATCTAAAATACCTTTAAAGATATCTTTACTGTGAAGTTTTTGTCAAAGGTTGACCTGTTGTTTTTGAGAGAATGAATTGTAAACAAAACACCATGAAATGGAACACAGATTTCACTTCCGAATCATCACCATAGCCTTATTAATCACTGTGTACTGTCGCCAAAAAAAAATACACAGACAACCACACCATAAGGTCACATTCTAAAGATGAAACAATTGCTATTAAATTCTTACCAAGAATGCCTAGACCTAACTCTTGTATCACCACCAGACGGAGACATAAATTATCTAAAAATAGACTGGAACTACATTTGTGGGTAACAAACCGGAATTATTAATTATGTCCTAATTCCAAGGTCTCACAGAAGCATTGAAAATTCTAACTTCTGCATGAGAAGGCTCGAAGTCGAGAAATTTTGTCTATATATATATATATATATATATATATATATATATATATATATATATATATATATATATATAAAACACATACATTTAAATAGCATAGCTTTCAAAGTTGATATAATGCAAATTTGATATGCCGATAAGTATATCAAAATATGATACGCCCATGGTGCAATAGGGACATGTATAAACGTTCTTACAACTGTGCACTGCCGTTTACAGGTCTATATATCACGAAGAATTTCCACTCATTAATCATTAGTGACATATGAAAATAATTTTTAAAATGATTAATTATCCTCCTTTTCTCAATGAATTTAGCGTGGTGCACAACCTCATC